CGGTTCCACCCTATAGTGTCGCTGCTGGCTTTGCCCCCTGCCTGTCGCAATCGTCGACCTCCAGCCTCTGTGAGCCATTGTCCGCCGCTGCCCGCCTCCCGCCATCGGCCGCCTGTTGCGCACCGCCGCCACCCGCTGGCCGCCATCCGCCTGCCCACAGGTAATGCTTCGTGCTGAGCGGAGCGAGAAAGACATCGTATACGCCATAGACGGCAGGGCTTAATATTGGAGCCCCCGTGGACCCAACCATTTTATAAAAAAATATAAGTTTTTTCTTTTTTAAAATATTAAAAATACCCAACAAAACATGTTTTATTATTTTATTTTAAAAAATATATAAATCATAATGGTACCAAACATATTTTCTAAAAATAGAAAAAAAACAAAACAGACTAAAAACAAAAACAAAAATAGAAAAGAGAAAGTGTTCCCAAACAGGCCCTAAATCTTTCAGCAAAGGATAACAAATGACTTATTTGAAGAATGGGGTGCATTTTCTCTTAGGAGTGAAAGCTTTTCAATACTCGCACCAGTTTTGATGATTTGCTCCTCCAAAACTTGCACGCATCCCCGACAAAAACTAGCAATTCTCTTATCTTGGTTATTTTGACTTTTAAACACCATTGGTGTAAGTATAGTGTACCCAAGTGACATGAATATCGTGGAAGAGACACCACATGCTTCCCCAACTTGCTTCTGTGGAAGAGAGGCCGATGACAATCACAAATTCACACTTGCATCAACTTTGGATATTTGAGGGACTTGCCAACAACCTTGGTAATGTGATCCCTTTAGGTCGCCACGACTCCCTAAATTAAAGAGTTAGGAAGGCTGAATTCTGCATTCAAAATATTTTTGAGAGGCACCTGCATGAATCACCATCATTATCCTCTTATCCAGGAACTGAATTTAGATTTAAATCCATGAAAGCCACAACTGTTGACTCAGCCAGATATTAGTTTAGAAGCTCACTCAAAGTTAGATAGACCGTAGGCACACTTGGAACAATCACTATGGGACTTGCTTGGATAACCCTTTTCAATAAAGGAGTTCTAACAATATTACCTGTTCCATAACTCCGTATTCTTTGCTTCTTCTGGCTGAGAAAGTCAAGAACACAATTGGTTCTACCTATCAACATATAAAAAATAATAAAACAGTGATGATAACCATAATAGATATACATGAGAGTTTTTCATTCAACCAACATTCTAATCACATAAATTTTAACTAACATTTATTTTAGGAGAAAAAAATCACTTCAGCAATTTCAAACTTGCGAACCTATGTTGCTGCTGGAGCATTTGATGAGAGGTGACTATGAAACACTATGACAGGTAGCAGTTGATCTTGCTTCTCTTCGAGGTCCACCTTTGCCTAGCAATCTTGGCAATGAATATTTTTATTGTTTTTTACTTTCAACAAGACAGTTGCATTCCCCATCCACACCTTTGGTTTCTGTAATTGGCACTTGGTATATCCATCCAATTGATGGTTTTAGATGTTCAACACCTTTCGTGGAGTTGTTTTGCTCTTTTGCTGGTTGAAACGAGTAGACGGTCCAACCATGGTTGATCAATAAAGACAATCCAAAAAGGAAGGGTAGAGAAAGAAGTGGTTGTGAAGCCAAGAATCCAACTCCGGGTATTTATAAATGGTTGAGATTCTAAATGTTCGGTTTAGTCACATTAAAATGTTATTAAAGAAATAACTAGTTGCATTACTCTCAATATCTGAGTAAAATAGGGCAATAAATTATATTTTTTTCAGTTAACAATAATAAGAAATTTTTCACCTAATTCTCTTGATATTTTTGCTAATGGCTCTCAAAAAATGCAACAGAATTAGAGAACTAAATACATACCCATGACGTGCAGTTTAACAATTATTGGGAACATCCCTAAATTGGTGGAGAGTCATTTGCTGTCTCCAGGTGGCACACTCCTCATCTAAATGACACTCACACTAGCTTATTAGCGATACTTTCCTAGCCTAAAAGGACTTACCTAGCTTTGTTAGACTTGCTTCGACTCATAGGCACTTCCCCGAATTTGATTCCCGGATTTGAGGGACTCTCATCCTTTCTAAAAACATTTGCCTAGAGCAAAGGAGAAGCCTGCTATCTAGTCAACCGACTCTGCTAACTAAGCTTTATAGACTTCTAAAGTACTTGCCCAAGGGGCTGTTCATGTGTACTTACGTTCTTGATTTTAGTGTCCATTTATTTGCGTCTATCAAATTATATTATATTTTGTTTATTTCTCGTCTGGTTTTTCTTGTAGCGCCTAAAACCCTATAAATTAGAGATTAAATGGAGTTGCAAGGACATCTATAGTATTATGTATACGAATAGAAATCCTGGAATTTCTCTCTCAGAATTTTCTTGTTGTACGATTGTTCTCTTCATTGCTTTGATTTCACAGATTTTGGTAGTATGATTCGGGTGTCTCCCACTGGCATATTCGAACACATCATTATTCAAATGCTCGAATGATCTCTTTATTATCTAACTGGTTTCATGGAATGTGTAAATTTTTATTTAATGATACAAGAATATTAATTACAAACTATGGTTTGCAGTCCTAGTTATTTTAACTTGTTCTAATCTCTTATCTGGTATATGCAGTAAAAAATATTTAATTAGTATGATTTTTGATGAAATGTAGGTATTCTCGTTTAAGTTGCGAGGAGCATATAATATGATGGCAAAGCTACCTAAAGAGCTGTTGGATAGGGGCGTCATTTGCTCATCTGCTGGAAATCATGCCCAAGGAGTTGCACTGGCTGCTCAGAAGCTAGGATGTGATGCGGTTATTGTAATGCCTGTTACGACTCCAGAAATTAAGGTTTCATGATCCATGATCCTCGGATGGAGGGTCCTCTTTACTTATCTTTGTCATCTAAATTTTTGTGTATGAGAAATAAGCACACTGAAGGGCATCTATATAGGGACATGTATAAAATAAAGACAAAGATTTGCAGCTTTGCTTCATTTAATGTGAATTCTTTTGTAATGATATATTTCTGATTTCAGTGGAGATCAGTTCAACGTTTAGGAGCAACTGTTGTTCTTAAGGGTGATTCTTATGATGAAGCTCAGTTATATGCTAAACAAAGAGCAGAGAATGAGGGTCGGACATTCATACCTCCATTTGATCATCCAGACATCATAATGGGACAAGGAACTGTGGGAATGGAAATCGTTCGTCAAATAAAAGGTCCTTTGCATGCCATTTTTGTACCTGTTGGAGGTGGTGGACTGATTGCTGGCATTGCTACTTATATAAAGTGTGTTTGCCCAGAAGTATGTACCTGTTTCCTAAATCTTGGGAATTGTATATTGTTCAAATTATGTAGTTAACATCATATATATCGAAGGAAAATAGCCTAATTTGATTATGAATCTCATAGGCTGCATCGAACATAGTCCCCATTCATACCTCCCTTCGTTTTATGCTTCTAATAATGATTCTATTGTTGTCCTGTCTTATGAGGAAGGCAAATAAATGGTCGTTAGTCCACTCATCACACTGCATACAACCAGTTCTTTTTATTCCTTTATATTTGCTTTTACATGCTTTGCATATTATAATGATTTTGATTATTTTTTTTGGTGCGCATCTAGTATTATCATTTATAGTGTTTTTTTTATTAAATAGAAGTAATGTAAGGTAAAGTTTTTTTCATTTATGTGCATGTTAGAATCAATGTTGGGGTTATAGTTCACTTTGTTTGTTTTAAGACAAGCTTTTTCTTTTACTTCTCAGTGCTACATAATTTGTTTTCCCACTGAATATATTGAAAGATACTTAATACTGAACTATTTTGCACACGTAAGTATAGGTACTTGCAATATCAAGTGGGCCCCTTAATTTGGTCGAACTTTGTCAATCACCAAATTTTGTTGACTCGAACTAAGCTAGTTTATTAACGGATGAGTCAATGTCATTGTTTCCTTATGGATTGATTTTTTTCTCTATAATCCAATCACAAGCAGGGCAGAACCCATTGCAAGCTATCTAATTACACACACGCATATGTATATGTATACATACATGTATGTATGTATATACATACATACATGTATGTATACATATACATATGCGTGTGTGTAATTAGATAGCTTGCAATGGGTTCTGCCCTGCTTGTGATTGGATTATAGAGAAAAAAATCAATCCATAACATATATGTGTATATATATATATATATATATATATACACACACACACACACACACACACACACACACACACTCACACACACACACATATCATGGCAGACGACTGTAGAGAGAGAGAGAGAGAGAGAGAGAGAGAGAGAGAGAAGATATATTCATAAAATTTCAATTAAAATATCCTTCAAAAAAAATGTAACACAAGGAAGAAGTCACTGATATTATTATGCTAAGTGTGTCGGAATACAAAATGCTAATGTCAGTTAAAACTAAAAAGGATCAAATAAATCTGGACCATCTTAATTTTGATTATATTGCAAAATTGTACCTTCGCCTCCAGCCTGCCACAGAGCCGCTCGTGCTTGGCTCTGCTTCTAGCGTCTGCGACAAAGCCGCTCGTCAGCCCAGTTTTCACTGTTTTTCCTGCTGCAACAACTTTTCTCGTTGTAGCTTAACGCCGACAGCTCTCCTTGCTTTGATGGTGCCTCCTTCTTCTTTGGTTGAGCCAGACAAAGTCTCCTTTGCCTACGTGGTGGGTAACCCTCAGGTGGAGTCCGCAGTGGGATTCCCCTCAAGTTATAAGGAATCTCGTGAGGGTTCAGATGATTTCCTTTTATTAAGAAGGGAAGTAGGAAATGTGGAAAATAAGCAGTTTTTTTCTTTGAATAAGAAATTTCTACCTTTACGGAAAAATTCAAGTTTGCTCTTATTGGAAAATTTCAGTGGGGACACCTTCCTCTGGAGATTATCAGAAAAAGTGTTGATGATCTTAAGCTAGTAGACATGTAACTTTCATTTAGCCCTTGGGAAATCTCATTAGCAACCATAGGTTACCTCCTTCGAGAGATTCCCGATCATCCGATAGAGAAATTTTATTTTGTTACGATTTTTGTTTTATTATGTTTGTGATTAAATTTTGAGTTGTCTTAACTCCCACTGTACCGGTATGGTTTAGTTTATTTGGTTTCAAGCTGCATTTTTTTCACCATCAGATTCTCTACTCTATTGGGGCCATCCTTGGGGATCCTTTGAAACTAGATCTGCCTACTTTCAACCTGATCAAACCCTCGGTGGCCAGAATACTTGTGGAAAATGATATTACTTTACTAGATGTTACTGAAGTTTGGATGGACACAACCCATAATCATAATGGTTGTTGGCAACAAATCGTCATGGAACACAAACCCCCATATTGTACCCACTATAAGATGTTTGGTCATATCATTGCTAAATGACACAAATTTAATCCTAATTTGAAATCTAATGGTCAAGTGAATAAGAATGGGTTTAACCCCACTGCTGTGGACATTTTAGTTCCACCTGAGGATGATACTACCAGATAGGTGTCTGTTGCACCTGAGGACCCCCCCATGACACTGCTGTTACTGTTACTGCGAGTGATGCGATACTGACACCTACAAACTCCATACAAAACAATTCTGATGGACTATTGCCTATAAATGATAGTGTTTAGACTGATAATCAAGAGAACCTCACAACTCCACTTCTTCAAGAAGTAACCGGTGTAGCGGCAACTCACACTTCTCATATTGTAGAACTTATTGTGGGTACTACTGTTCCTTCTGGTTCTGCTCTACCCCATCAGGCGGATTCTTTGGAGGAGGAATGACAGGTTTACACTTCCAGGAGAAAGAAGAAGAGTGAAGATCTACTAGAGCTCAGGAGTCTTATGTATGATACTTTGGTTACTACGGGCAATGGTCAACACCTTACCAATCTGCTAGCTGGATCACTACCGAGAACTAGAGCCAGAGGTAAGACTAGATTGGGATGACCCACACTTTTTCAGCGCCCGGGTGGTTTTTGGGTTTCTTTATATTTCTATATGTATCCATCTTTTACATTTTTTGTTGTGTGTTGTACCGTGTGGGTTGGGTGTTTAGGCCCACCCATACAAACCTATCTGTATCTTTATCTTTAATATATCAGCCCTGGGAAGAGAATTTATATTTAGATAATTATATAAATAAATAAATATATATATATATATATAAATATATATATAGATATATATATATATACATATGTATGTATAAATATACATATGTATGTATAAATATACATATGTATGTATAGATATATATGTACATAGATATATATACATCTACATATGTATATATATATATAGATATACATATACATACATATACATATATATAGATACCTATATAGATGTATATATATATACCTATATATATGTATAAAATATATATAGACGCAGATCATATATGCATACCTTTTATCTATCTTCGTCGAGGCTCTGCTAGGGTTTCGCCTCACGACGAACCCTAGCCTCTGCTACTGTAATTCCACGCTCGTAGAAGAAGGGGAGTACGCTCCTCTGTTCCGTTGTTTGCTTCGTCGAGTTGCGCTCGTGCTTGTTGCTCGCTGTAGGGCCGATCGCGCTCTGCGACTCCTCTCTTGAAGTTTCAACCCGATCGCGGCTCGCGTTCTGCTGTTTCGACCAGTTCGCGACAGTTTCGTCTTCTGTGGTTACCTCTTCTGTCCTACGCCTGTTTCCGCGGGTTCGACAACCGCTGCTTCGACCCGACGTGCGTCCATTCGCGTCTGGTTGCGCTCCATCAGACGGTCTGGTTTCTTTCGCTTTTGCATCTGTGGGCTGAAGGATCTTCGTTATGGTGCTTACTTCTTCTTCGGTTAATCTTGACAAAGCTTTTCTCGCCCATGTGGTGAGTAATATCTTGCGGAATCTACTATTGTCTTCCCCTCAAGCTATAAGGAATATCATGATTGTACGAGTGATTGCTCTTTTCTTAAGAAGATAAGTATGAAGAATGAGAAAACAACACTATTTTTCTCTGATTCAGAAATTTCAACCCTAACTGAGAAATTTAAGTTCGTTCTTATTGGGAATAGAAAGTTTTAGTGGGGGCACCCACCTATGGAAGTTATCAAGAGTGTTGACGATCTCAAACTTGTAGGGAAGTGGAAAGTGAAACTTTTTTATGGGAGACATGTGTTGATTTAGTTAAACCTAACTGAAAACTATGTTTAGATTTTTTTTAAAAAATATCTCAACATTGCAGACAAGTCAATGAAGTTACTCAAGTGGTCTTCTGATTTTGACCCAAATAATAAGTCTCCTATTGTTCCGGTATGGATTAATTTATCTGGTCTCAAGTTGCATTTCTTTAATCATCAGATTCTTTATTCTATTGGAGCCATTCTTAGAGATTCTATGAAGCTAGATATGCCCACCTTTAACCTAACCAGACCTTTTTGTGGTCAGAATACTTGTGGAAAAGGATATTATCTTACCTGATATTACTGAAGTCTGACTGAGCACAACTCAGAATGGATATTAACAACCAATTGTCATGCAACATAAACCTTTTTATTGTACACACTGTAAGATGTTTGGGCATACACTTGATAAATGTCACAGGCTCCATCCAAACTTGAAAGCTAAAGCTCAAGCAAACAAAGAGGGGTCTAACCCCATTGCTATGGACACATCTGCTATCTGTGGAGGAAGTTCCCACAAAATAGGATTTGGTGTCTGATTTGCCTGTGGATCCCTCCTTGCCAACACCGCAGTTCCTGATGAAGAACACCATACTACATGTACAGGTCCAATTGCGCTTATACCACTCACTGTTATTGACGAAAACCCGCTTACATGCCAGAACACACGAGAGTGCTCCCGCTCTCTTGATCCGATAAAAGATCAGTTGACGCAACAAATAGTTGCTTCTAATGTTCAACAACCTACACATGTCCAACACACCTTAGACCAATCCACTGACCAGGCGAGCCAATCTTCGGATGAGGAATGACAAGTCTATTCCAGGAGGAAGAAGAAGAATGGAAGCCGACTCAAGCTCGGGAATTTATTGGATGTACATTGGTTGCTACTGGCAATGACACTCTTCTCACCAATTTATTAACTAGCTCCTTCCCTAGAACTAGAGGCAGAGACAAAACAAAATTGGGCCGCTCTTTAGTTACCTGATAATCCAAATTTTGACACTATTTGGTTTTTCTTTTCTTTAGGTCTCTCATGTATTTTTTTTGTATTTTCTCTTTTTGGAACCATTTGCATGTGGAGGTTATTGTGTGGGTGGGGTGCCATGTTTGGGCCCTTTCAC